CAATCTGAACCCAATAAATAAATATACGTTATGATGTAAATACACGTCTTCATCTTGTTAATATTAATTTTACAACCTTAAATGGATTAACAAAGCAGAGCGGTTATCAGTAATTTCAAATTGTAATATCAGAAAACGAACCATCAAAGATGATACAACATCATTTTTGCCTTTAGCCATAAGTTTACACTTTACAGTAATACAGTAATGAGGTGTTTAGAAGAAGATGAATTGAGACAAACCGTAAAAATATACATCATCAAAGATTCAGGCTATTGAAGTTATGGAGGAACCAAAAGAAGAGTTTCATTCTAATCAAAATATTTCAAGAAAATGCATCAAAAGATCTTACAAAATCAAATATTTGTCTACAAACCATCTGAGTTATATATTGGATGTTTGTCTATATATATATGCTTAAACTCCACAGCCTTTCTTTCATTACATCAGTTTCTGGTCTCTGAGAGCCGAAACTTTCTTCCGCAGCTCAAGATTTGATATTCTCTCTACCTCCAGAGCTCGTTCAAGCTACATAATCCGTTGATTTTGTTAGCCTCAGAATGAAACCCGATATTGAACAAGGTTCCGCATACAAAACTACTTGTTATAGACTTTTCACAGATTCTATTGCATCTCTAAAACATGCCTCCATAAGAGAGAATAGAGGGTGTATGTACCTTTGCGGCTCGCATACTCCATTCTCCAAGAATAGCTCTTAACCTCTCATTTTCTGCCACGTACTGTTTCAGGAGTTTCAAAACAGATGATGAGTTTCACAGATTCGAAAAATGTGTTGTACCAAATTGTTCGATGTAAGAGATTTTATGGACACGCTGTGACCGGCAATCACTCGTAGACAGTATGTTTTTTTCTCATTTTTTCTTATGTTTATAGTTTATAGATAGACTCAAACCTGATTATTGGTATTCCGGACGTGCTGGATCTCTCTATCTCTCTCAGAGATCAGAGATCGAGCAAGACTAAGCTCGGAATGGAGTTGATCCACCTACAAACATACAGTTCTTATTTAGTATCCTCCTTCATTCAAAGATACTACACAAAGAATTTAGCCATGAAATGTCAATCAATGGTTCTTATACGTCTGCCACCAAATGGGTAAGAAACATTAACCATGTGACTTTGCAAGTGTCTCTTTTGTACACCCAAGGTTTACCTCAGCAGAAAGTGTTCGTAATTCCTGATCACGAGTCGCCACAAGATGTGCCAGATCAACCTGGAAAGTTAACACTTATTAGCTGCAAAATCTAAAACGCAGTGGAAGAAATACATCAATTTTAAGAAAATTATTTTTGTTAGCATGTAATCAACACTTAAAGCTCGGTTGAAAACAATTCGTCAGTTCAAAACCTGAGGAGTGCTACTACCGTTGGACTCTTCATATTTGCTCAATGACTCCTGCAAACGCAGAATCTGTACCCCAAAAAAAACTAGTCAGAAATTCCCTCAAGTGAAAGCACATGATAAAGAACTGGAGAAAGTACTGAGCTCAGGGTTGCTAGTACGAAACAATAGATTTAGTAAGAAACAACAAGCATCAAGGTTCAGAAATGATAAGTACTTATGAGAATATTTCATGTAATTGTCACCTCTTCACTGAGATAATGGAGATTCTCGCGCTGATATTGCAGTAGTGCCATTTGCTGATCAGAAAGGCGACCGGCTTCATGATATCTGTTTTTCAAGCAAGCAAAACGAAATAAGACTTGAGAATTGTATTGAGTATTGCCTTGTGCAATATAAAGCTGGCATGTTAAGAAACCAAAATCGTGACTACTAAGAATTAGGCTTCACTGAGATTGTGAAAGTACCTCAATCCTTCCAAAGCAGCTGGTTGAAGGGGAGAATATAATGAATTTAAGACATCGGGCTGAGAGTTCACTGAATTATACTGGCG